GAACCGCACCCCTTTTAATTCCAAATACCTTCATTCCACCGTCACTTATCACAATGCCCACCTCCCCATTACCTCTCTTCTCTCAAAATATCTCTCCATCTTCTACTCACTTCCTTCCCCCGAAATCCCCAAATCTTCCATAGCTGTTTCGTCCCCCAATTTTCTCTAACCTAGTTTCTACTCCAATTCGGTTCATCTTCCCAACAAAAATTTTCTTCCCCTCTCTTATCATCACCACCAAACCCCAACCCTTACCACTCTCAAAAATTTTAAGTTTTTCCTTCTTTCCCATATCTTATACTTCCATTGACATGGCACCAAAGGGAAAGAAAGTTGAGGTTGGATAGGGTAGCAAGCGATCTCTCAAGGGAAATGTCACAGGGTCTTCTAGTGTTAGAAGTCCGTCTAGGAAGTTTTGCAAACAAGCGGTGGAACACCATGATCAAGATTGGTTTGAGTGCCAAAAATAAGTAAAATACCTTAGTGATGAATATGTCAACGAAGTAAGGTTGCAATATGAATTCCCGCAAATTTATGAAACAATTTACAATCTTGGGCTGCAATACATTTTTGAGGATCAAGGTGAATATAATATCACTCTTGTCTGTGAATTCTATGCCAACTAGATTATGGAGCAACGGTACAACAACATTGTTGATGTGAGGGGTAAGACTATTCGTTTATCTACTAAAGTGCTAAATATTTTTTTGGGAACCCCTCATTGTGAATTCGTTGAGTACCCTAGGTTGAAAGAGAATCCCCCCTTATAGAGATATTTGTCATGCATCGTGCGGGATGAACTCAAGTGCTAGGTGGGATAGGAGTAAGTACATGGGTAGACACGCCACCCTTGATTATGCTCATTTAAATCTAGAGGTTGGGGTGTGGTTAAAAATTGTGTATAGTGTCTTATTGTCATGCAAGTATACCTTTGAGGTCACTAGGGACCTGGTTGTATAAGTATACACATTGATGAAAGGTGTGCCTTTTAATGTGGGGTCCGTTCTTAGACAGAATATGATGAAGTTCTAGAATAATAATAGGTGGAGATTTTTTTATGAGATCTTGTTGACACAGTTCCTTAGGTTTGAGGGAATTGAGGAAGAGTTCCACGACTTGTGCTCACCTAGGGATCCTAGCTGGTTTTCAACATAGTAGATCTGACCAAAATGAAAGCTCAAGACATGTCACGTGGGCCCATTTTTTCCTATGTGAATCAACAATCAAGAGATGATAGCTTGATGGACTAGACATTTAGAATGGCAGAGTTGCAGCTATAGATAGATGGTCGCCTCGTTACTGATAGTGAGATGGAGTAGTTGGCAAAGCGCTACCCACTGACGGATAGTGCAATATATATGTGCAGAATGGGTCCGTCTTTCCAAAAGCCATTGGACGACGTTGAAGTAACTGTGGATGATGAGGTTGATAATGATGATGATGAGGGTAATAAGGTTGACACTACATTGATGGTGGTTGATGGTGCCACTGATGTGGCGGATGGTTGTGATGATGATGGAGATGAGGCCTAAAGGCTTGAGGAAGTTTCTCTTTCACTCTATACTTCTATTTCGATTTTGCGCACTAAGGATAGTGCTTTATTTAAGTGTGGGGTGGAGATGAATTTCCATGTAATAATTTTACTGCTTTATCGAGTCTTTTTTAAGGTGGGTGCCTCGGCTGTTGTTTCCGGTTCTTTTCCTGAGGATAGTCCCATTGAACCGACTAGGACTAGTTTATTTTGCTTAACTTTGGTTGAGTCTTAGAGTCGTTGTAGAAGTGACTATTCCTGATGATGGATGGATAATGACCGTCTTAAGGGAAAATTAGTCACTAGGATTTGTAGATTGTGAAACTGAACTTTTGATACTTTAAAACCCTGCTTAAAAAGTTAGTCAAACTTCATGGGTAGTTCACACTTGAATATGCAACTGTAATGGAATTAGTAACCTTAAGACACACATAGGTTCTTTGTTTTGACTCTAAATTGATAAAGTTGGGCTTACTTGTGTGGAAAACACTGCAATGTGATTTGTATGAGCATGTTGAATTGATTATGTCCTTACGTGTATGTCATGATGCCATGTGTGGTGAGTATTTTCTTAGTTTCTTGCATTGAATGACATCTAGAACTTACCATGTGTGTGCTTAACATGTAACTGGTATAAATTATGGAATATGATTGAGGCATTTCTTTGATAAGCCAATTGAACTCTCTTGTGTGCCTCCACAATAATTATCCTTTGTGAAGCCCCCATTGAGATTTTTAACCTTTATTTCCTTGATTAATCGCATATTGAGTCTAATCCCTTTTTGTTGATACCAAGGCTTTGTTTGATACAAAAGTTGGTCCTTAATGAACTGTGTCAATAAGCAAAGGGTAACATAATGGTAGAAGTGAAGTAGGGTGGAAATGTCTAATGTGATGAAATTAGAGAAAAGATGTGTAAATAGCCAATGATTAAAATTGAAAAGGCACTTGTATGTATAAAAACATGCTTAAATAAAGAACAAGTCCTAAACAAGTGCTTAGATAAATAAAAGGGCAAGTATTGAAAAGTGAAATGAAGGATATTTATGAGGTGTGCACCAAAGAAAAGAGAAGTGGTTGAAGATGTTTGAAAAACATTACAAGTGCATTAAGGAGGAATAGTCACTAATTATATCTGAAATGTACCCTCCCTATCCTTGAACCGACATTACAACCAAGTTAAGTCCTCTTGACTCCGTGATAAATGCATTGTGAAAGTTAAAGTGCACTAAAGGCAAGCCTATGGTATGTTAGAATATGCAAGAACATCATTTGTGAGAGTGAGAGTTTAAACTTTGAAAAATAGACCGTGATTTGAAATACAATGTGCAAACATGATGTTTGAATGAGGGAAAGGATATACAAAGTAATAATTTGGGCATTCATGACGCACATTTTGGTGTATTTGATGTTGGTATGTTCTTATATGATTACATTGACCCCGGAAATTCTGTGATGAGTTATTCATTGAGACTATGTGATGTTGATTTGTAAACTAACATGGTGAACTAAATTGTTGATTGATTGCATAAAGTGTGGATTATAAAAACATGATTGAATAGGTGTGGTTGATTTTAATGGGAGTAGATAAGTTCAAAGGTATTAATGATGAGTTAATAGTTGAGAGATTGTCCGAGGACGAACAAAGGCCTAAGTGTGGGGTGGTGATCTTGGGCATATTTATATGCCCATTTACTACGATTTGCCCGTATGTGTCTTATGTTTCAAGGACACTCTTCATGATAGTTATTGTGTTTTGATTGAGTATTGCAATAAATGTACACTAACCTACATGATTAGCATATGCAGGGGCTTCTAAAGAAATATAAGCTAAATAGGAGGCGACGAGAGCTGATAACACTAACCTTGAGAAAGTGTGTTAATCTCCCTGTGTAATTGATAGATCCTCATTCGATTCACCTTATCAAAGTGCTCCTTCAAATCTTCCTAGACTTTGTAAACACTTGTAGCATACATGATTCCACTCAGAAGTTCTTCACTAACTGTACTCATTAACCCTGATAAGACAATTGTGTTACAGGTTTCCCATTTCTCATGTAATTCATCTCTATACAGACTTCTGCTACAAGTTCCAGTGACAAAACCATATTTTCTCTTCCCTAACAACGCGATGTGCATCGATCTACTCCACAATCCGTAATTTTCAGAGCCAGACAACTTGATCGAAATTAACACAGCTCCAGAATGTCGGATGGGCTAATGTAGATCGGATCATTCTGATCAATTTTGAGAAAAAAAACTCTCTATCTAGTCGATCAATGACTGTTCTATGCTTCTACACAACTAGAATCGGTTTTTGCTCTGATACCATGAGAAACATTGAAGCTAATGACCTAAAAGTCCATTGATGATTACAGTGAAAATTAAATCATGGAACTAGAGAAGAAAGGGGCAGATATTTTTATTCAGAAGCTTCTGAATTTATACCTTTGTGAATGCTTATATACACATGAAGAAATATCTTCCTAACTGACTCTAATTCTAACAATCAATTGCAAAATAACTAGTTGGACCACTAACTAATCAGTGAGCAGTGTAACTAACTTTTGAACAATTGTAACCTTCATAATAAAACAGTTCTTAACAGTTTTTCTTATGTACAAAACAATTGCATGCAAAATTGGCTTTATCTTTCTTCTCATTTTTTCACATTTATGCTTATTTTACTTTATGGTTTTCTGGTAGTGTAATCAATAGTGTTGAAGACCTTTTTGGAGAACATCTTATGATTTGTTTTATCCTCGTATTCATTGTCTGTGGAATAAGGAGCTATTTTTAATCGACATAATAAGAGTGATTCGTGCTATTATAACCTGCACTATTTGGAATTCAGAAAGTCTTTGGATGAATCGCATTGTCAATCTTCAATTTGATGAGAAAGATTGGTGACTTCCTCTTGTTGGAAAAAAAAAGGTTTTAGAGGTGAAGTTAGTGTTGGGTATTTGTCCTGAGTTTCTTACTATAAATAAGTTTTCCTCTTTCTAACAGTAAAACGTAAAGTCTCCATATTTGGCTAGTCCTTTTCTTGTAGGAAAAGGTTTAGGACTCTATAAATAGAGACTTGTCCCTTAATCAGTATTCACAATGTAGTCCTAGGGGTTTTGAGAGTTTTGGTTAGGGGGAGAATTTGTGGAACACAAGTGATACGTTATCACTTGTTTGCACCTCCCATGTATTCCGAGTGAATTGGTTGAGGTTATTTCTCTCTATATTTTGTACTCTCATATTGATATAGTGGATTGCTCATCTCCTTTGTGGACGTAGGTCGATTGACCGAACCACGTTAAATCTTTGTGTCCTTTTGGTATATTTCTCGTTTGTCTTCTTATTCGTTGTCTTTCGGGGTTTGGTTTGCTAGCTTCCGCATGACACCTAATTGTTTCGATCCTAACAGTTAGGAGTATTAACAAGTTGCATAACCTCTTTGCTTCATTAGCAAGTATGCGAGTATGGAAGTGCTACTCTTCTTCCTTAGAAATTTGCATGATGTTTGCTAGGCATACATTATAGGAATATGTTTCAATCAGTTGAGGTTGTGAGAGGTAACTTTCCTATGAAATCACAATTGAGACTTCCTAAATACAGATGATCATCATACTCCAACACAGATGTCACAAATGACATGACCTTTCCAGTTGGATCATCAAAGCCTTTGGTTATCTTTCCATCAGCTGCCACATTCACTACCATTGCTTTGTCGTATGCTCCCATCACCCACTTCATCAATTTGGGGAAAGTTGCCAACAAATGTTCTATAGCTCTCGACTTGTGTATGAAATTTAGCCGTGGAGCTGTTATCTGTACCAGACAACAGATACATTTTCTTTAAACATTCCCCCTTAATTAACTTCACATTCAACAAAGGTGGGTTATAGCTTACCTGTATTAGAGCAATCCAGAACGAACCATCTGGAGCAAGCTTGATGTTATCTGGTGCACCAACAAGATTATCAATGAACATCTCTGTTTGTCCTTTCATTTCTTCTTTCAACCAATATTTGAGGCACCTAAATCTGATTATTAAGGACAGAAAGTATGTTGAATGCAACTCCCATTCCAATTGCCAAAACAATGTGTTAATGAAGAAACCGTGCTAGTGAATGGATTGAAAATTTGAAAACACTTACTTCCATGATTCACAGACTACTAAGTAATCTTGATCTGCAGACAGAGCTACCCCGTTTGCAAAGGCCAAGTTATCAAGAATTACAGATATCTGGTTCAGCGAAGGGCTATATTTGAGAAGCTGACCATGGGGCTTGGCCTCAAGCACGTCAAGGAACCATTCGTGGAGTCCAAATTTGGTGCTTGCCACACTGAAGTATACACTCCCATCTGATGCTTCCACCACATCATCTGCTAATCTGTACACACTCTTTAACTTTAACGATTTTAAATACACCTTTATGCCACAAGACAAGTGACATGGACATAAAAATCCAGAGATTCTTTTTGTAATTTTTCTGCTAACAGCATCATATAAACCATCATTGGTAAGGAAACAACAGATCATGTGTGGGTTAGGGACTCGTCACAAGTTCAACTTCTTCTAGACAAAGCGCTGGTATTCAAGTTGGTTGGGAAGAGGGTATTAGACAATTACCTTTGCCTAAATATCAACCCATTTCATACTGTAACATCAGTTGGAACTTTAAGTTATATTTATTCAAGAGATATACACGGCACAGAGCATATTATATTGTTCATTTTAAAACGAAATTGCACAAAAATCATAAAGTGATATTGGGAATTGATTCCTCCTTGCTCGTTAGGCATCATTCATTTTGTTTTGACAATGCAACTTTAGAGTCAGAAAGCTGGGCTAGATTGGCCTCTTACAAGTTTCCTCAATGTGGTAGGGAATAAGTAGAAATGTTCTTTTACTTGAAAGATTTGTTTAGTTTCTTCTGGTGGTTGGAATTTATATAAGTTATGTCGTTGTCGATCACCGGTTATTTAAGTAGTTAGGTCCGAATTTTACAGCAGAACTCACAATAAACTTGGTTATTGAATCAATCTCCCCAAACTTTATTGCCTCTATCTTATAGAATTGTACTTGATTTTAAAAGAATGGATATTTCTTTTTTACTATCACTGTTGGAATATTTTTGTTGACGACTTGGTCAGGGCGGTTCACAATTTCTTTGCTGAAGGCGCTGTTAAGCCCTAAGTTTGAATTCCAATTTCATTGCCCTTATTCCGAAAGTATAAAGTCCTTCTATGATTCAGAAAAAAAGTCCATGGTCCTTGTAAAATAAGCTGAAGTCATACCCTATAAAAGTAGTTTCTAGTATCTTCGGTCCATAATTCAAGGAGATGGAGAACTTGATGATAGTGTCATAAATAGTATTGGAGCGGGATGGATAAAATGAATCCTTGCATTCGAGACTGTGCGATAAGAATGTATCGCCTAGGCTTAAAGGTAAATTCTTTAAAGTGGTAGTCAGACCGACTTTGTTGTATGTGGCACAGTGTTGGTAAGAATGCCCACATTTAAAAGATGAATTTAGTGGAGATGAAGATTACGCTTAAATGAACAAGGAGTCGTATCATTAAAAACAAAGTTATATAGGGGAAGGCGCCTTGGCAAACAAGATGAGGAAATCAAGACTAAGATAGTTTGGGTATGTAAAATGGAGGTGTGTGGATGTATCAATAGAAGGTGTGAGAAATTTGACCGTAACAGGAGTCAAGAGAGGTAGAGGTAGAGATAGGTCGAAAAAGAACTAGGGAGGGTTGATTATACAAAATATGACACAACTTCAACTTACTAAGGGCATAAGACTAAATAAGAAGATGTAGAGGTGAAAGATTATATTAGAAGGTTAGTAGATAGCTAAGAGGGTGTTTGGATTGACTTAAAATTAGTTGGTCAAATCTACTTTTAAGTCAGATTTTACTTCTGGAGTATTTGACAAATATTATTATTTGTTGATTCATTTGATTTGTATCTTGTTGTTTATCTATCATATTTTCTTGGTACAAGTCTTCAATTTTACTTCTTCTTTTTTTCTGTCAAACGGAGGATCTATCGGAAACAAAAGGCAAGATCAAATAACTTGATCCAAATTGATATGTAGTGGTTTGTGATAAACAATCCCCCACCCAATTCCTCATTCTCTCTCCAATAAATTAAAAAAAAAAATTGGTGTATAAACTCATTGCTTTTGGTGGTGTAGAAGAAGATGAAATCTTAGTTACCTTATTTTTTTACCATTGACATGTGAAGCAAGAACAGTAACACCATCTTCTGTAACCTTAAGTAGTCCCTGCACATCATACACATTAATTAATTGTTGGTATTAGATAAAACTTGTTAATTAATTAATCATGTGTAGACAAGTGGATGATTTACCTCTTGAGCATCACAAACTAGAATATGACCAGCAGATGACACTTTAAGTCCCAATAATGTATCTCTCCCAATATATTTCCAGCTCTGCCAAGTCCCATTTTTGTGCCTTCTTTTAATCCAACCATCTCTAGTGGCTGTATACACAATTCCCATTTTATCCACTGCAACATCTTCTGGTCTATCTACAAATCCTTCTCCAAGTTTACTTACTCTCTGAAATTAACAAACATGAATATTTAACGTGGTTCATTCAATTGACTTAATCCATAAATATACATATAAGAAATTGATAGTATAATACTTGTGTCTCGTAAATTATTTGTCTAAACAAAACTCTCAAAGCCTTTAATTTTTTAAGGTTACCTGCAAATAACTGTTTGATGTAAAGGTTGGAGAGGGAGAAGGAATTTCAAGAATCTGAGGAGATATTGGTGAGAATAAAACAAGTTGGAGTAAAATAGCCAGCAAAATAACCATTAAAAAGCTACAAAAATACAGCATCGAATCTATAAGGAAGATAAAATGTCTGCAGATGAGATATGTTATACAGAAGAAATTCTTTGGTCCAAAATTTATACTATATCCCTGTCAAAATAATTGTCATATTTATCTCAAAATCTTACAAGTTTTCAGATAAATATTTTTTAAAATATTAATTGTTCTTCAAAATTATAACATCTTAATTATGACACATTAATAAATATATCATATTATTTTTAATCTTTTGTTACATAAAACAATCAAATATACCTCTTAATTAATACAATTTTTTAATGTGTAAATTAAACAAAACACACGAAGAATATTTTGACACGGAGGGAGTTTAACCAAGCCATACCAAATATGGGTAGAATTTGTGGCTGAAAACAATTACGTAATAACTCTAATAATAGCATTAAATGACACCAATTTAAAACGGGAAGACCATACCGCTATGGATAATTAATATGGTAATTAATAGGGAAAATTACATAAATAGGCCATAAAATTCAAAAATAATTACAAGTTCATAAATCATACCCAAATAAAAAATAATTTCTGAAATACTCATTCTCTCATAAATAATTACAGTCCATACCCCCATTCATTAAAGGGTGATATTTTTTGCTTAACTGATACTAAATCAGTATCATATATTGTATTGGTATCATTAAAGTTGATAATTTCACTTAACTGATACTAAATTAGTATATATATATATATATTTACTGTATTGGTATCATTAATGTTTCTTGTTCAGAAATTACTTATTAGTCAATGATACTATAAGAGTATATATGTATGTTGTTCTGGTATCATTAAGGTTTTTTATTAAGAAATTACTCATTAGTCAATGATATTATATATATATATATATATATGTGTGTGTGTGTGTGTGTGTGTATATATATATATATATATATATATATGGTATCATTAAGGTTTCTTGTTCAAAAATTACTCATTAGTCAATGATACTACAAGAGTATATATATATTCTTATAGTATCATTGACTAATGAGTAATTTCATAACAAGAACCTTAATGATACCAATACAGTGTATATATATATTGATTTAGTATCAATTCAACGAAATTATCAGCTTTAATGATACAAATACAGTATATATATATATACTAATTTAGTATCAATTCAGCGAAATTATCAGCATTAATGATACCAATACAATATATGATACTGATTTAGTATCAGTAAAGAGAAATTAATAAGGGGGAATATAGTGTAATTATTTAGTGGGTATGAATGTTAAGGGATATATATTTGTAATTATTTTTCTTTTATGGGGTATTTGCTTATTTTCCTCTAATTAGTATGGGTATCCACTCATATTTACCCACTGAAAATGGGTTGGGTATCCAACTCATTTAAAAATGGGTAAAAACGAATAATACCCAGATTACCCATTTAAAAGTGGGTAGTTAAATGGATAAAATGGGTAAAAGATGTTCTTTTACACAAAAAAAGAGTAATAAAGGGTGGAGTAGTAAGTAAGTCTTTTTCTTAAAAGAAAAAACTTTTTTTTTACATTTTTATTTGGGATGGGGGGTGAGGGTAGGGGCTGGTAGGGGGTA